AATATAATATATTAATATATATATATATATATATATGTATAGCATTTAAATAATATACTTGAATATACCTTTTTCTTGAAAATGGTATATAATTGTTGCATGAACCGGTTCTACTTCCATTTCAAGTGTTTTCCCTTGAAATTCCAATTCCAATTGAACTTTGCCGAGTGAAGGTAACCAATTAAGTTTTCTTCTTGGTTTTAAACTTTGAAAGGCATTATTATAAGTTTTCATTTCACTAAAGTAAATAAATTTATTACAGTTATGAAAATAAATATATAAATACTATTTAGGAATATAAAAATTATAACATACTCAGATATTGGAGGCGGAACTTCAAATTCTTCATTATTAATAGTTGGCCAAAATAATCTTGAAAGAATGGAAGTATATAAAATTTCCTATAGTAAATTAAATTAATGATGAGCTTCGTTCATAAATATAAATAAACACAGGTATATTTACATTTTCATTATTTAAAATTATTTCAAGATCTGATGACTCGGCTGCATTTTTACGAATTAATCTTTCATTATTATTATAAATATTTCCATTTATTCTTTTTGAATCTGAAATATCTTTAACCATTACTTCAACAGTTGACATTTTAGATTCGCCAAATCGAAGTTTAAACAATTCGAGTTTAGCTAGCTTTTTGAAAATGATGATTATGATAATGATGCGTATATATATATATATATATATATATCATAAATGCTTATTACTTTAGTTGTTGGAAATAGTTATCTATTAATTAAATATTGTTAATTTAAATACCTCCTTTGTAGTATTAAAATCAGTTTTTAATAATAGACATTCTGCCATTTGTCTTTGAATTTCTTCGGTGAGTAATTCTGTATTATCGAATAAACTAATAAGTAAATTCGTCATATCAGCTAATCGATATATTGATGATTTGTATTCTATTTTAGAATAAATATAAGTTGCATGAATAATAATAATGATGAGTAAAAAAATCCATCAATATCAGCCATACAGATTGTATATAATTTGACAAACCAGGTCCAGCATCCACAGGATCCGGTATCCAATTATCATCATCATCTAAATTGTATTCATCATCATTTTGATTTTCTATGGGAATTTCAGTACGTCCCAATTCATCAACCAACTCCATCATCTCCAACCACCTCTCCTTCATTAACTCCACCTATAACAACTCCACCTTCATTAAACCCATCTACAACAATTCCTTCTTCATTAACCCCATCTATAACAATTCCTTCTTCATTAACCCCGTCTATAACAACTTCCCCTTCATTAACCCCATTGTCTCTACAACTACAAAGAGTTTCAATTGATGAGTCTCAAGCATACGAAGAAGAACCACCTCCACCCTACGAACCTAATCCTAAGTTTGAATTTACTGGTCCTGATATTAAAGTGACTCGTAATGAATCGTATGATGATGGAATTGATCCTTATGTAGCTAGAAAACTAGCTCGTGAAAATCAAAATTAAAAATTAAAGAAATAAAAAAAAAGGAAGATGATGTGACGGTGTTTATTGTATTTTTTTGATCGTTAAATTTAGAAAATTTAATTTATATTAACTAATTAATTGATTATTATTTTTAATTTATATAATATATATTATTTCATAATGAGAGAAATATCATACACTACAACTGCTAAAGATTTAATTATAAAAAAAAAAATCAATCAATGTAATATG